ATTTTAGAAACAAGTCAACCAGAATATGTTTTATTAAAATATAATAAAATTATAACACCATTTGTTAAATTAACAGGAAAAGCAAATGTAATAGTTGAAGATAATATAATTCAAGAAAATGATCCATGTGAGTATAGATTTACATCAAGTAAAGATATCGAATTATTCAATACAATTAATTCAAATAATAAAATAGAAAGAATGTGTTCATTTAATGAATATAAAAGAATGGCAGTATGTGGTAAAAATGTAGAAGTAATTTCAAATTGTAATTGTGAATATGAAAATCATGAATATCTTAACAATATGGTTGATTGTTCATATTTTAATGAAGAGTTAGTATTTTTTATTCATGAAAATCAAATTGAAACACCGTTTCAAACGAGATGGAAAAGTTTTACAACAAATGGAAAACCAACAACATTTTTTATTGAAAAAGGAAGAAATATCACATTTATTGGTGATGTATATCTTCCAAAAACACCAGTATATTTTGAATACGGAAAAGTAATTTTTGAAGGAACAATTTATTTTAGTGATGAAGATGGATTATGTGATTTAGGAGAATATAATATAAACAATGTTAATATTGATAAAGTTACAAATAACAGACATATTCTTTTTGTTGGTAAATGTGGTATGGGATATGAAAATTGTCAAAATTTTATTAAAGACAATAAATTTAAAGAAGTTAAATGTGGAGGAAGTCAATCAAGAATATTAAAAGAAAGTAGTAAATTAAAATGTGAATGTGAACAAGAAAATGAAATAAATTATATTCAAAGTGATTGTGAATTATTTTCCATTCATAAAGAATATTCATATGATTTATTTATAAATTATAATTATAATGGAGGAAATAATATAAGGTATTGGAATTCAATTATTGTTAATAATAATAGTATAGTATTTAATGGTTCTAAAACTATTGTTAAAGAAATTTGTGATTTTACTAAAGTAGAAAGATTAGATTTATTTGGTTATTTAAGTTGTAAAGAGTTACATCTAAAATCAACAACTAGAATTATTGGACATGAAAATAGTGAATTAAATACTTATTCTATATTTATTGATGGTAAGGTTAATAATTTAAATAAAGATGCTCTTATTCAAATGGGAAAAGGAAAATTTTTATCTGATGGTTCTACATTATTTACTTTTACTGAAGAAGTTACAGAATGTTTTGAGTTAGTAAGTTCATTACAAGAATTAAGTAATTCAATTAATTCAGATAAAATAAATAAAGAAGGGGAAAAATATATTAATGTTCAAGTAATAGATAAAATAGTAAGAATTTGTCCATATGAAAAAATAGATAAACAAGTAAAATGTAATGTAATAGAAAATACATTAAAAATATTTAATTATGAACAATGTCCATGTAATGGAGAATATTGTTTTTTTTATTTAGATAATTTAAAATATAAAGAATTATATTTAGATGAAACAAATAAAATTACTGGTAACATTGTTTTATCAAATAATTTTACTATTAACTCTATTGGAGGAGAAGCTTTTATTTATAATATTCTTTTTGATGATCCTTATTCTAATTATTTCATTTCTATTAATGGTAATTGTATGTTATCTTATACTTCTCCTATTCTTCAAACTTTTATTTTAAATGGAAAGTTAACATTGTATAAAACAACTTATGCTCATATTATTTCAAATACAAATAGAAGTTCTATTGTTTTTCAAAATGAACCTTCTTATCTTAAATTAGATGCTTCCGTTAGTACTTCTGTTGAAATGATTAATGGAATAATTCAAATGGGAAATGGAAGATTAAATGATATGAATGGTATAGTTATTTCAAATTCATATAAAGGCTGTTTAATTGGTTATTTTGAAGAACATAAATTTTCTTGTATTACTTGTTCTGATGGTCCACTTACAAATAACTGTTCTTCTTCTACTAATGTTTTGTATTGTCAGTCATATAACTCATTTAGTCAATGTATTGAATGTGTTAATGGTTATTTTCTTAACGAGGGTTGTTTATCTTGTTCAGCTAATTGCAAGAAATGTCGTGATGACAATCATTGTTTACAATGTGAAGATGGATACACATTGTCAGATGACCAGTGCAGTAAAGAAATTGCTCAAGATTGTTTACTTTATTATAATAATAAGTGTGTTAAATGTGCTGAAGGTAAATATTCTATTGATGGTGTTAGTTGCACAGGAGACTGTCAAAAGAATTGTGTTCAATGTTATAAAAGTGATAATGACAAAAGTAAATGTACTATATGTAAAGATGGATTTATTTTATTTAATAATGAATGTTTAAGTACTACTGATGTTAGTAATTCAAAAAAATTTAATTCAATTGTAGGCAATACTGGTGTAGAATGTGAATCAGGTTATGTCCTTGTTGATGGGTCATGTCAAAGTTGTTCTTCATATCATCATGATGAAGATTGTAATTTATGTGATTTAAACCAATGCCTGTCTTGTAAAACTAAGTTGCTATTAAATGGTATTTGTACTTTAAGTTCGGACAATTGTAATAGTATAACAAATTCAAAATGTTTCTTATGTAAAGAACAGTATTACAAAAAAGAAAATTGTCAAAAATGTGGGCAAGGTTGTAAAGTATGCGATGAAACAGGAACATGTCTTGAATGTATTAATGAATCAGCTTTGTTAAAAGGAGAGGTTTGTGAAGATAAAGAAACAACTAAAACTCAGTCTTTAACAGAAAATGAATTTGATATAACATTTGAAGAATGTGATATTATTCGTTATGGGTCATGTCTACGATGTAAAGATGGATATTATGCATCAAATGGAATCTGTAAAAAATGTGATGAAAATTGTGGTTCATGTGTAATTAATTCAAAATATTGTATGTCATGTAAGGGTAATGCAATTTTATCAAATCATACATGTCTAAATGATTATAAATCACTAAGTACGTCGTGTGAGCTTCAAATAAAGAATGGGTTAGGATGTATAATTTGTAATGATGGATATTATAAAAAAGATTCTATTTGTTTTAGTTGTGAAGACCCAATGGAAACATGCATAACAGAAGATATAGCAACCAATTGTAAAAAAGGATATTTTCTTGATAATGGAAAATGTATTAATCAAAATGAATTAAAAAATTGTAAAATTAAAACTCCATTAGGATGTAGTCAATGTGAAAAAGGATATTATGTTGATAATTTGTATTGTACTAAATGTGAAGAACATTGTAAATTATGTACCAATAAATATTGTGATGTATGTGAAGAGAATTATATTAGTATAGATGGAACATGTTATTATTTTAGAGCAGTAAATAAATGTGAATCATCTGATGGATTAAAATGTACTAAATGTAGTTCAGGATATACTCCAGAAGGGAAATATTGTGCAAAGAAGAATTTGTGGTATGTTTGGGTTATTATTGTAGTAGGAATAATATTCATTATTTCACTTATTATTCTTGGAATTGTTTATAAAAGAATTCATCATAAGATTAAGAAAACAAACTTTAACGTTAAAAGTATTGATTCAATTTGTCAAACAACTGATTTAGTATTTTGTTCACCACATATTTTAACAGATAAACCAGTAATAGAATTTTATGGAGATGATGAACTAAAAGTAAAACAAACAAAAGAAGTAACATTTTATATTGCTAATGCTGGAAAATCAAAAATTAAAATTCAACCAACAATTATGGAAAATGAAAAATATGAATTTATTATTGAACCAGAAGTCGTTGTTTTAAGAAGTAAAGAAGTGGTTGTATTTAAAGCTGAAATCACACCATTATGTTCAACACAAATAGATGATAAAATATTATTCCATTCATATGATATGAAAAAAGATATTATGACTGAATTTTCAATTGGATTAGAGTTTATAACAGAACAAACTAATATTATTGATTATGATGAATTAATATTTGATAAAAAATTAGGTGAAGGTGGATTTGGTATTGTTTATAAAGGAATATTTAGAGAAAATGAAGTTGCAATAAAAGTATTAAAAGATAATGAAATGACAGAGGGTTCAATGGAAGAATTTAAGATAGAGGTTGATATGTTGGATAAATTTAGATGTGAGTATATCGTTCAATTTTATGGTGCTTGTTTTATTCCTACTAAAACTTGTATGGTAACAGAATATGCAAAATATGGTTCATTACATAAATGGATTAAAAATAAAAAGAAAGTTAGTCATCATTTAAAAATTAAGTTTTGTTTAGATGCTGCAAAGGCTATTGAATATCTTCATTCAAATGGTATCTTACATCGTGATATTAAACCTGATAATATGTTAGTCTTTTCTTTTGCTGAACAAGTTGGAGTTAATTTAAAACTTACTGATTTTGGAAGTGCAAGAAGTATTAATCGTTTAATGACTAATATGACTTTTACTAAAGGAATCGGAACTCCAGTCTATATGGCACCTGAAGTTTTACAACAAAAAAGATATAAAACAACTGCTGACATTTATTCATTTGGTATTTCAATATATGAAATTTTAACATGGCAAGAAGCCTACCCCACGTCTGATCCTCGTTTTGTATATCCTTGGAAAATTGCAGAATTTGTAATAAGTGGTAAAAGATTAGAAAAACCTACAAAATTACCTGAAAATGAATACCGTATTATATCTGATTGTTGGAAAGATAAAAGTGATGATAGAATACGTGCATGTGATGCTATATCTCGTTTAGAGAGATTAATTACTTATTAAAAATTAATTTTTTATTTATGTCAAAATCGTTTTTGTTATTTATTTTTTTTAATTTTTTATTTGTTATAATATTTGACAATAAGAAATAGAAGATATGACCATTAGGGATATATGTAATATTATTGTATAATTTGATATTACTTTTAATAAGCTCATTTGTGTTTATTTCAATTAAGTTATTTAACTATTTTTTCTTCTTAAACAAAAAATATATGTCTATGAATTGCATTGTTCTCTTAGAATAAATACAATATATTTTTTTATAACTCTGTATCAACTTTGAATAAACAATAAATAGTTTAGAACTTTGTCTATTTGTCAATCAATAATTAAAATAATTTTTAATAAATATCATTTTTATACTATTAGCATATTCCTTTATAAAAAAATTCTCTTAATAAGTCAATTCTTACTTTAATTATTATTAAGTCTTAGTTATTCATTTATTTTATATTACTTCTTTCTTAAGTTAAATTAAAGAGAAAAATGAATAAGAATGAAATGAAAATTCTTCTAAAAATGATGATGTGTCATTCTTAAAATACTTGAAGATTGGTTTATTCTATTATATAGACTTTTCTTTTAAATTGAATGATAAGGTTCACTGATTTTTAATTGTTTTGATGTAGAAAGAGAAAGGTATATGAACATTATCTTCATTAAAACAAATTTGGTGGAAAATAAGTTGAGTATTTTTAATGAATGAGGTGATATTTTACAATGATTCTTTAATACTATCATTGTTATTGAAAAATGATATATTATTTTATTGCACATTATATAAAAAAGATAAAATGTGTTCTTTTAATTAAAGATATGATAAAATCGTACTTAAATGAATTAATAGTTAATAAAAAGAATGATAACATTTAATGATAATTAAATAGAATTGAATAGATGAAATAAGGTATTCAAAACACAATGACTGATATGAGAAATAATAACAATTAAACCATAATTATTAATAAATCATTCATTTATTATTAATAAGATAACAACACAATACAACACAATAAATGAATAGAAATAATTAATAATACCAATCTCTTAAATAATTTAAATTAAACATTATCTCTGATATTAACAATAAGATTATGAGTGTTGTTTGATTAACAAGATAGAGTTTTTTGGTTATTCGTTTATAAATTTTGAGTAAATAAAAGAGTTTTAGAATGTATAAGAAGATAATTACAAACAGTATAGAGGTGTTTAGATTATGTTGTAGTGATGGGAATGAATGAGAGAAAGAATAGAAAGAATTGTACTGTGATAAAAAAAGATAAAAGGATAAAAATTAAATAGGAATTAGAAAAAAGAAAAATGTGAGAAATCAAAACAAGATTGAAAAAGTGAAAAAGGGAAAAGAACTACAAATAGGATAAAAACAAAGGAACAACATGAGTAGTATTAGTCGATCATTTTTTGCAATTAAAAGTGTTCTTGGAGTCAATAAAAAGACTATTGACACTGAATATGAAAGTATGAAAAAGAAATTAAGTGATATTTCAAATGAATTCAATAAAGTAATCACATATGTTGAAGAACTTCCTAAAACAGTCAGCAATATTTCAGGAAAACATCTAAATGTATTGAATTCACTCCATTTATGTGTTC